GGCGCTAGCGGCGCGGTGTACATGTCGCGCTTCGCCGCCAGCCTCCACCTCCTTGGGCACCGTGGAGGTACAAGCTTACAAACAAGCTGTGTACACAATGCACAAATTGTGTGGGATACGGTCGAGTACAAATGATCGATCAATTTCAATAGTTGGCACCTTAGCAACCTGAAGAAGTATATTCCAAATAATAAACATTCGTTTATGTGTCCATGTACAGATCCAGAACTCTTTCCTCTTGTTCATTTTTTAGAAGCATACATGTATATGTATTAATTCCTGATACAATTAAAATGTAATGGCCATTTTCGGGATGATTGCAACATGGTTGAGCTTGAGGCTGCGTTGGCAAAACAAGTGATGTGTTCTACTTTGATGTGTTGTAGAGTATTCAGTACATTGCATTTAGAAATTATAACCCAAGTTCATGCTACATGAGATTAATTTACAAGCCCATGTTTGTATTGAGATGCTTTAGGAGAGGCACTTTGTTAATGTGGCCATCTGGAAAATCTTTGTTCAGAATTCAGGTAGGTGAATTTCAATGTCCCTTTGTTACTTAGGCCTTCTTTCCTATCCTCTCCCCTCCCTCCCCCACCCCCCAAAAAAAAATCAACTGCTTGCTTGTACAAACCACTGTAGGGGCTCAGGCCCCTCCGGTTCTCTTAAGAAAATCAATGTCCCCCGATGAATTTTCTGACATAAGATGCCAGCCCGGCCCTGAGTTCCACAGTCTTCCTAGAGATGCATCTCAAGACAGTTTTCAGTAGGTTCTGTCAGAAGGGCTGGAAAAATTTCTATCTGCAAGAAGAGCTGGGCCTTGTTTAGATTATAAATTTTTACAACTTGGACACTGTAGTATGTTTCGTTTGTATTTAACAAACTTTATCCGATTATGGACTAACTAGGCTTAAAAGATCCGTCTCGTAATTTACAACTAAACTGTGTAATTAGTTATTTTTTTACCTACATTTAATGCTCCATACATACGTCCAAAAATTGATATGATGAAGAGAAAGCGAAAAAACTTGGAATTTGGAGGCAATCTAAATAAGGCCCTAGCATGCTGAGCGCTTTGTACCGATCTATCCAAAGAATATTTACTCTACGATATTGTTTTGTTCTTTCCTCTAAACAAAATTAAAATCTATTTCTATAAGAAATTGCATACGGTATTCTATTTCATGAGAAGTTGCAAAACGTGGAGTGATTTATGAAAGAAGTGTCTGTTAGGTTGATCACAATGCATGTTAATTTTGTGATAAATCTTTTGTCCCTGTTGCTGTTGCAGCCCACAAAACTTAGCCTTTTATAGGCCCCGTTCGCTTGTCGAAAAAAGAAGTCAAAACACTGTAGCGGATGGTTGTGTGAGAGAGAAATATTGTAGCGGCTGATTGATAAATAGTGCCATTGTGAGGAGGAACAAGCCGGCTGATCTAAAAACCAGACCAGCGAACGGCACCATAATGACAAAGATGGATAATTTATGTTGTATACCCGTAGCAACGCACGAACACTCAACTAGTGTAATGTTTAAATGATGCGTACCAGCAAACAAATATTTTTGTATCTATCCTACCCTATAATACGCCAGTTAGAATAAATCTATAGCCACACAATAAATGTCTGTTCCACGGTCATGACATATGCTATATCCATATCTATAAATGCACCTAGAAAATATAGTACCATCTAAATAGATGCACCAGATTATCTCTTAGCCATTCTCTGGTTACTCTTTCAAATCCGATGACTCATGTATCTTTAGCGTGTCTGCCCTGCGTGGCCCTCCCGCTGACCTCCCACGCGGGGTTTCAGCACCGGCGTTAGGAAAAAAAAACAGCATTTCAGCACCGGCGTTTCGAAAGTTCCACACCCCCGCCCGGCCGGCCAGCGGCCATGTCCCTCCCCGGCGGCAACGGCGAGCCCCCTCCACCGCCGTTCCCCTCACTCATCAAGCTCGGCTGCGCGGTCACCGCGAGACACGTCGACCGCCTCCTGACAGTGCTCCTCCGCCGCCGCAGGCACCGCCTCCTCGCCGCGCTCGCCTCCCAGGCGCTTGCCAACGCCATCGCCCCTACTCCGCGCACGCACCTCCTTGCCGCCTCCGCCCTGCTCGACTCCGCGCGGCCGCGTGACGCCGCACAGCGCCTCGCGCTTGCCTCCCGCACCCCCAGTCACCGCCTCTGGGATGCACTGCTCCGCCGGGCCTGCGCCGGGGGCGGCGACCCGCGCCACGCACTGGAGCTACTCTCCACTGCCATCGAAGACCACGGCATGGTGCTGTCGCCTTCCACGTACCGCGAGATGGTGGTGTTGCTGTGTGCCCACGGGGAGGTGGATTGCGCACTTAGGGTGTTCGACTTAATGACCAGGAGGGGGTGTCAGGTAGAGGGTCGCGTTTGCAGCTCGATCGTTTCTGGGTTATCCAGAACTGGGAAGGTCAGAGCAGGGCTGGATTTCTATGAGAAGGTGAAGAGTCAGTTCAGTGGATTTGATCCGGACCTTGTGACACTGACATCAGTTGTCCATGCTCTTGGGTTGGAGGGGAGAACTGGTGAGATGGCGGAGCTTATGCGGGAGATGGAGTGTAAAGGCATGAATGCTGATGCTGTGTTTTACGACAGCATGGTTCATGGATACATGAGTCGTGGGTTCTTGATGGAAGGTCTTCGGGAGCATCGATCCATGCTAGAGAAGGGAATTGAAGCTGATGTGACTAACTATACTACTGTTATTGATGGACTCTGCAGAGAAGGTAGTGTGGAGAAAGTAATGGGGTTCTTGGATGAGATGGAGCGAGTGGATGCTAAGCCAAATTTGATTACTTATACATCACTGGTTGGTGGCTTCTGTAAGAGAGACAGGTTGGAAGATGCTTTCTCTATGGTGAGGAAACTGGAACAAACAGGCGTGGTGGTGGACGAGTATGTATATTCGATTTTGATTGACAGTTTGTGCAAAATGGAAGATTTAGACAGGGCTTTCTCGTTGCTCACGGAGATGGAGAATAAGGGAATAAAGGCTAGCATCATAACATACAACGCGATAATAAATGGTCTGTGTAAAGCTGGTCACACTGAAAAGGCTCTTGAAATTTCTGAAGGTGTTGCTGCTGATAATTTCACATATAGCACACTGTTACATGGTTACATCAAAAGAGGTGACATAACCGGTGTTATGGCAATAAAGGATAGGCTTGAAGGTAGTGGTATTTCTATGGATGTTGTCACATGCAATGTTCTTATCAAAGCATCGTTTATGATTAACAAGGTGAATGATGCCTGGAGCTTGTTTCATAAAATGCCTGAGATGGGCTTAAGACCTAATACTATCACCTACCATACGATCATAGACAAACTGTGTAAAGCTGAGGAAGTTGACAAGGCACTGGAGTTGTTTGATGAATACAGGAAAGATTCAGGATTCTCCACTGCAGTTGTTCATGAGTGTCTGACTAAAGCACTGTGTAATGGAGGAAAAGTTGACATGGCTGACCAAATATTTTATGATCTTGTTCAGAAAAAAATAAGGCCCAATTTCTTTAACTGCAGGAAGTTGATTCATGCACACTTCAAAGGACACGGTGAACATGGTGTGCTGGATTTCATTTGTAAGGTTGGTGAATTAGATATTGACTTATTTTCATCTGTTTGTAATTATGCTTCTGCTTTCTTAAGCAACAGAAATTGTTGGCAAGCAGCAATGAATGCTTACAAGTTACTGAGAATGCAAGCCATTGCTGTGACTAGATTCGTTGCGTTAACACGGGCATTATACTAGTTTTCAACAAAACACCCAAACAAAACATGGAAATGTGGCCCAAACAAGACGTATTAGCATACATGAAACAGTGTCATGGATGGAATAAGTGCATTTTCTTATATCAAGGGTGTTTTGGTCATTTCGCTTGTCAGTTAATGGCGTCAGCCTTCACACCTAACGGTAACGATAGTGTCATATAGGAAAAGGAATTCGGAGTCGGTGTTAAATAGAGAAATCTGAACTTTGCATGGCCACGGAAGGAACGAGTGAGTTTTCATGCTGTCATACATGAAATTCTCTCTAAATCTAACCCAAGAAACGTTGGACTTAATCCATCAGTCATTTTTAAATTTGAGGAAACTTTAACAAACATTTCATTCTAAAAGTTTGAAAGCGCATGAACAAAACTTACAATCACAATTTTTTTTATTTTACCAATTGTTTAGATGTTCCTGTTGTTTGAACTATTTTATGTATTCCAATCCCAACTAATCGAGCTAAAAAACAAGGGTATAAATGGTCCATTCGTTGTAAAATACAGAGGCATAATCACAAACTTTATAAAAGTTAAAAATGAGGCCAAAGCCACAGTTTGTCTTCGCAGCGGGTGCCAAAAACGCTAATGTGGCAAAGGAATACGATGCGATAACACCGATATGATTAAAGCACATGTAGTAGCATCTCTTTTGTTTCATCCAAAGAGAGAGAGGGACAGATGGCATCAGAAGGATCGACACAAGCGAAATCAAGTAATTTGGTGCGCAAGCGCAGAGCAGGAGTGGAAATTCAGTGGCGCGCTTTCGTGAATGGCAGGCAGGGGAGGCGAAGGCAACCGGCAAAAAGCCAAAGGCAGGCAGGGAGCAGCAGCAGCAGGGTATCTGCTCGCTCCGTCCAAAAAAAAAAGGGTTGTTTTTTATTTTTAGACAACTTATTTGACTATATGTCTTATTCAATTTTTTTATATAAATATCATATATTTTGTTATGACTTATTTTATTATTAGATATACTTTACTAATGATTTATTTATTTTATAATTTATATAAATTTTTGAATAAGATAAAAGGTCAAACACCATGTCTAAAAGTTAAAAATATTATTTTTATGGGACGGATGGAGTACGCGCCTACGAGTAGTACGCGTGTGTGCACTGCACTGCGCCCTACGAGTACAGAGGATAGTAGTCCTACGAAGGTTCTCTTCTCTGCGCCTCCTCACTACCTGTCGAAGGAAGAAATGGAGAAGCAGGCATACTGGCAGTGGCAGCCTGCCAGGCATGTGACATTCCGTGCTCTGGCTTCTCACTTACCCCCGTGTCATCCGATCCCTGTCAGGTCGCGGTCTCCTACCCGCTCACTGCAATTCAGCAGGTACAGTTCTTAAATACTCCTACTAGTAGCAATAGCAATGCTAATAACTTTGCAAAAGAAGTGTAGAAATCCAATCTACACGAGCAGGACCGCGGTGGATGGACGGGAGGGGCCCATGCAAAGGTGAGTGGCATGGCATGCTCAATCATCATCATCAACCTTTATCAAAAAAAAAAAAATCATCATCATCATCATCAACTAGTACAGTCTTGTTACACGCTGTAAATGTAGATAACCAAACCCTTTCTGGTAATCTTGTTGCTGCTAAAAACTTACTAGTAGTAGTACTAAGTACGGTCTTATTACACCCTGTAAATGTACACGTGTATTAACAGCCAAACCCGGACGAGAGAGAGAGAGAAGCATTCATGCTCCTCACTTCCTCAGTCCTCTTCCGCTCCGCCACCCGCCGGCCACCGTACCTGCAGAAGCTCGCTCCATAAACAAGAGCAAGAAAACAAACCAACCGGGCAGCCCCGTCCCGTCCATTCATCAACCATCGTCATCATCATCATCCTCCAACCCGCGTCGCATCTGCGCTGCGCTGCTCTGCTCTGCAAGCCCGCCGGTCCGACAGCTGACACCGCCGCTCCGATCCCGGTGCGCCCGCCAGTCTTTCGGTGACGCTGACGGCTGACATGGGCTGCTGCCTCCACCGCCGCCTCTGCCTCGGCGGCACGCGTACGTCACTCTCCATCCTCTCTCTCTCTCTCTCTCTCTCTCAGCACCGTCTGCTCTGCTGGCCAGCTGCTGACTGAACCTACCCATGCCCTGACGAAAATCGAACCCACCCAACACAGGTACCCTGCCGTTCCTCAGGCGGTTCACGCCCAAGGAGGTGGAGGCCGCCACGCGCGGCTTCACCGCGGTGTTTCAGGGCGGCGCCGGCGGACCAGGCGGCACGGCGTACAGGGCGCGCTTCGCCGGCGGCCTCGTCGCCACCGTCATCCGGCGCCGCGACGATGACCGCGGCCAGGGAGAGAGAGGGACGGACGCCTTCTACCTGGAGCTGCAGCTGCTGGCCCGCCTCAACCACCGCAACGTCGTCAGGCTGCGCGGCTTCGCCCAAGGCCACCACGCCAGGCCCGTCCCTCCGACTCCGACCCTCTCGCCTCTGCTCTGTGGTGCTGATTGGTGAAATTCAGCTTTGGATATGATTGGGGCGAAATGTTTCAGGTTCCTTGTCTTCGATCACATGGAGAACAGGAGCCTCAAGGAATGCCTCCACGGTTGGTGAAAATGACTGCAGACTCGTCTGTCACTCTCATCTCAGGCGACATCTTCTTCTTCCTCCTCCTCCTCTTTTCAGAAACCTGAACCCTGATGCCTGCCTCTCCACCGCAGATCCTCTCAGGACGCCGCTGGACTGGCGGACCAGGCTGCAGGTCGCCATTGACATCGCGGCAGCACTGGTAACTACCACTGCACATCTCACTCACTCAGAGCTGAAATGATTCATTCAGTTCTCTGAACCTGGAACGCATTCATTCAGGAATACCTCTACTACCACTGCGACCCCCCGGTGTTCCACGTCTCCGTCAACTCCGGCAACGTGCTCATGGACGCCAACTTCGTCGCCAAGGTGATACTGACACAATGCAACTGCTGCTGCAGATGTTAGTATTGCACAATGCACGTTCTGAGCCCGAACCATGCGTTTTTCAGCTGTCGGATGTCGGCGTGATCAGCCACGACGTCAAGCTCGCAACCACCGATTCCTTCCAAGGTCTCCCCCCACTCTCCAATTCTTGCCCCCAAGTTCGCAATTTGCGTCGCACTCATCTTCTTGCTGTGTTCACCTATGCTATGCACGGCCTGCGTGCGTGCGTGCGTGCGTGCGTGCAGACCAGGTTGAGCAGAGGCGGGCGGGCCTGGTGTTCCAGTACGGCGTGCTGGTGCTGGAGCTGGTGACGGGGCAGTCCCCGGGCGGCGACGGCGAGCTCGTGCGCTGGGTGCAGGACCCCGGCTTCGCCGCCTCCGTGGACAGGATGGTGGACGCCGACCTCGGCGGCGTCTACGACGCCCGGGAGCTCCGGGACCTCGTCGTCGTCGCCAGGCTCTGCACCAGGGACAGGGACGGCGGCGCTGGTGGCGCCGTCGTCACCATACCGCACATCGTCAGGTACCTCCAGGCGAAGCTGGAGCGGATCGGATGCCAGGACAGGTTCGGATGATGATGGTTCGTTTGCGTGCGCGGGTGATCAGCATATCATCTTTGTTCTTCTTTAACAGTCTGTACCATCGAAGGTAGAAAAGCGCGTGGCTTTTTGTCTGATAATATTCCGAATTTGTTGGTGTCGATAGAGGAAGCAAAGTGATACTAAGGGTGTTTTTTTTGTGAATTACTGACTGAAATTGAAAGAGGCGTGTAGTTTTTTCTTCTGATGAACAGATGAACATTTCAAGATGTTTGCTGTGCTTTTGTGACTCAATGTTGTGACAAGAACAGAGATTGCCATGGCAGATTGTCTTATGGGGCATGGAAAACTAGCCGGCAACAGAAACTGGCTTCTCTCTGAGATATAATTTTGCACAAATTGTAAAGTTTTTAGTAGTAGTATGCACTAATCAGGTGTATCTGCACACTTAATCTGACTGCTGAGATCAGCGGCACACTTAATCTGAGTTCTGAGATAACAGAAAACATGTCCTGATCAGATTTTTCTCCATATTTCGCTCGTTTGGTCAGCATCGCGAGCCACGAGCTCGGCCACCCGGGTGCCCATCGTATTTCCGCTCAAAAATGAGTGGGAATGGGGAAGCTCCCCGGTTCAAAAAAAAAAAACCTTTTTTTCTGTGCAAAGTGATCAAATTTCAGATTCTTCAGAGACAGAACCTCTTAGCCATCCTATTTCCCTACACTCAGATTTACACCCCTCGAAAGGAACAAATTCAGAAACACCTAATCAAACTGATCGCTTTCTAATTACACACCGTGCTGTGTATCCAGAAATGAAACGACACAAGAGACGAAGCAAAGCAGAGTTGTGCAACAGAGCTAGGCCACGAGAGCGCGAGAAAAAAAAAGAACCCTCACGACGGCCTCGCGGACGACGCCAGCGGCGTGACCTCGGCGAGCGGCGTGGGCATGGGGCTAGGCAGCGGCGACGTGCGGCATACCGGGCACGTGGGCCGCTGCCGGAGCCAGGGGTCGACGCAGTCCCGGTGGAACAGGTGGCCGCAGTCGGGGAGCACCCGGACCACGTCGCCATCGCCGTAGCCGTCGAGGCAGACGGGGCAGCAGCAGAACGCCTCCTCCTGCGCCGCCGCGGGCGCCTTCCCCTTCCTCGCCTCCGCGTAGGACACCGCCGGGAACGCCTCCAGCGTCGCCTCGTCGATGCCCCGCTCGACGTCGCGCGGCGGCGCGGGCGCGTCACCGCCGCCGCCGGCGGCGGCGGACACGGGCATGGAGGTGCGCGTGCAGAAGTAGATGGCCAACGCGATGGTGGTGATCACGAGGAGGATGCCGATGGACACGCCGATGCCGTACCCGAACCCGCTGATGCCGCTGGACCCAAATATGCCGTGCGCGCTGCCGCCGTCGCCGGGCGGCGAGTTCATTGCTGCTGTTCTTTTCTTGGCCTGCTCTGCTGCTCCCAATGCCGTCGTCAACGCGACCTCTGCATGCCAAGGTCGGTAGAGAACGGAATTACATGACGTGTTTAGGGAGAGGACAGAGGACGACGAGAGAGAAGAAAAAAAATGATGGCGTGCTTAGCTGGTCAATGGCGTTCGTCAGTTGTTTAGGCGTGCTTGATTGGCGTGGCGTTGTTTGTTTCTAGGAAGGCATCCAGGTGACCAGGTGTACTTATGCTGCGCTAAGACTGCCTAGCTAGTAGTACTACCAGTAGTAAGATTACTAAACTATTATTCATGTCAACTTTAGCCTTACGCCATTTTCGACAACTCGACCAAAATATGTATTCAAAAAGATATTGGTGGTCATAATAGTGAAGTTTAAACGTGTCGATTTCACAAAACCCTGATTTAATTTTTGGAGTGGAAGTGGTAACAAATAGTTTTATGATCAGTCTTAGGCCTTGTTCGGTTAGGGCGGTATGACCCAGGAATCGTTTCGGCTATGGAAAGCTTATATAAATTAAGTAAAGATTTCGACCAGGAATTCTTCCAGGACGTCATTCCTGAGGAAGCGAACAGGGCCTCAGGGACAAAGCAATCCTAGCGCCAATTTAATTTGTAGTTCCAAATTAGATTTTCTCTGATTTCAAATGCTCAAAAAGGAATTGAATTGTTTGATGGGAACCCTAGGCCATTGGAACATTGGATCAACATCAAACTACTATTACGTGTTGAATTGGTTGATGTTGATAAACAACATGCATGGGGCCCGGGGCAGCAATTGGTTAGCAAACTGAGCCGAAGCACTTCATCAGAACTTATAAAAGTTTTTGAGTGCTGTTTTAGGCTTTGCTGCGTTGCTTATGGGAGACCACTAAGTTTGCACCTCGCGGAAAGCAATGGTTTTTCTTTGCCTACTTGAAGGATATTGTAAGACCGCGGCAGCTGCTGGAGTCGTCGTGGCCGTAGAACTCACTGGACTTTTGCATGTAGTATGTCTTTTTTTTTCAAAAAAAAAAAAAAGATGGATCCCTCTAAATTCTTATGAGGTTTGTTACGGTGTTTGGGAGGAACCACCGGTTCCTCTCTAAATAAATTTTTTTCAGCCATTTGATGTACCCTAGTCTTTTTACCGTGGATCTTCCTCTTCTTCCTTCACATGAACTGGACTTAGTGCCCGCATACACGGAGCGCCACGGCGACGGCCGCCTGTCCTGGTCTCACCGCCCGACGCCTACAAGGGCTCGACGCTGACCATTTGCAGGTGCTCACTGGCGCCCGTGTGCAAGGGCCTGCAACACGGTTGCTGGTATAGCCGCCGTCGCCCGCCTTCACGGGGCGTACCACCAGCCACCTCGGAGGTACTGCCTTCGGCCGCCGGAAGCCTGCAGGCTCTCGACGGTGCTCGCCTGCAAGAGCTTGCTGTGGCCGGCTTGAGGGGATCGGCACCACCGTGCTTAGCAGGAGTTGCCCGCCCAATGAGTAACCGGCAACGAGATTGCATCCTCACCCACAGCGACCGTGTCAGGGCCAGGGGAACCATCTTTGCAACAGATTGATGACCTGGGATTTACTTTTGAATAACCTAAACGGATATCAATTTAGACCTGTTGAACTTTTGAGCGATCTAGTTATTAGATGCTCAACCTCATACGCATGGATTCAGACATTTCGAAAGCCTGATGAAAGTTTTATGACATTCAGTATAAGGAAAATTTCAGTCTGTCTGTATTTTCAGTTTATAACTTCTTTGGTTACTTTGAACCAAATTTGGGAATGGCTTCAGTTTGCTTCCTCTACTGAACACAACTTCAGTGTGCTCCACCTCCACTAGATGAAAATCTAAAAGGGAAAGCACAAACCTGAAATCGTTTTTATACTTATATTTATGGACTCAAGAGGAAGTGCTTGATGCCAAGAACTCTGATCTGTCTGCTTGCCGCCTGCTGTTTCACTATCCTGAGTAGCGTGTTGCAATTTGAACCTGATTCTCTGTTGAATTATAAACCTGGTGTGACACGAGCATAATCCTTTTTGAGCATGCCTCCTGTGGATTATGGATAGGAGCGGCGCGGTGGTGGAGCCATGGAGGAGGAAGGGGGCCAGGTACTCGGATGGAACAGAATCGGGTTTAGGGCGGCACGACGGCAAGGGAGACGCCGGCGTCGATTTCTCTACGCCGCATGCCGGGGTTGACGAGCATAATATCCTTTGCGAAAGTACCATTTTACCCTGCACAATTTAATTGGAGTTGGTTCCGGGTCCACTAAATTTTGCTTCCGGTCCACAGCTTAAGTTTCTCTTAGTAGGTTCCTCCTATTTCTTAACCATCCGATTTAGCCAAACGGATGGCTCTCATTATTTTCAAGCGCTGTAAAATTTCTCAATTCTTATTATGTACTCCCTCCATCCCTAAAAAAGAGTCGCTATGAGAATCATGCTGGTCAAATTTTCTCAACTTTGACTAAGTTTATAGAAAACGCGTGCAACATTTATGTCCCCAAATAAGTTTATTATGAAAATATATTCGATGACCTACCTAATGATACTAATTATGTACCATAAGTATTAATATTTTGTTAAATATATTTGGTTAAAGTTACAAGTTATTGATTTTTTAAAAACGAGAATGACTCTTTTTAGAGACAGAGGGAGTAGAGCTCATCGGTGTGACCACAAAAAAAAGGAAACATAAATGATAGGAGATAATCAAAAGCAAGAGTCTGTTATTATTGCTCTTTCATTCATTCTTGATGAAAAATATACAAAACAACAATCTCCAAAGCTTTGCTCACCAAATGAATAGTCTCCCTTAGAGCATGTTAAGGAGTTTCCCGATTCATCTCTCTTGAGCTAAAATGAAGATTAATTTGTGTTGTTTTCGCCTTAGAATTTCCAAGCATATGGGTTAACGATCTAGGTGGGGTTAACCCAACAGCTATATATATAAACAGTTCTTCAAATAGTTTCAACATGTTGGCAATAAAAAAAAAGATGTGCTTAGTTGTTTCATTACAGTCGTGGAAAAAAAACATTTTTGACTACCCGACGAATTCCTTTAACTAAATTGTTTTTTTAATCACACAGACCTATGAAGATACAAAGAAAAATCTTGATTTCTAGCGGCAGCGTCAGCTTCCATATAAATTTTATTAGTAAAAGGCGTACCCTGGTTTTTCCACATTATGATACATACATAGAGCATACTTAAACATGACACGTATAGGTCCCACGTCCAAGGGAAACATCCTTGGTTTATCACATCTTATTGTGAATATATTAAGAATCATACGGTCCATGTTCTTATTCTACCTCTGGCCACTTCTTTGTCTCTACTCTCTAGCCTCTTCTCTATACGTGGATTCAGCCATTCAGGCCTTCAGATTCGATTCAGCACTGACGAGATGAATCACTAGGCACGTACGTGCATGTTGTGCTGATGCCTTGGCAGAAGCAGCGTAAGCGTTGCTAGCCGCACGCACCACGCAGGGAGTACAAAATCAGGCACAATCAGGGCGCGGAGTGCAGTGAGATCGTCCCCCAAAAAGACGTCACAATCAGAGAACCGGCAAAAAAGATCACAAACGATATCGATCAGGATATTTTTGTGGTCGTGGAGCTAGACTGAGCGTCCGCAAGTCATCTTCCGGCCCCTGCCTCTGACGTATAACCACGCCATCTAGTAGTAGTACATACGTAGAGATGCTTGGCCTGTTTCTTGTCAACTTGTACTGCTGCTCGATCGATCCGTGGAGGAGGACCAACCCAAGAAGAGCGTTCGTGTACCTCTCCAGAGCCGTCGCTGACGCTGGAGCAGAGAGCAATGGCATTGCTTAGCAACACGTCAGCGTCAGGCGAGAGCGACAGAGGGAGAGGAAGCCGAGAGCAGCAGAGCGCAAGATTCCCGTGCTGGTGGCGACGCCGACGCGCCAGCAGCCTTGTGATGTTGCAATCCGGAACACGGCGTCGCCGTAGCCCATTGGATTTGGGAGGCACGGGGCACGGCGCACGGCGCAGCTTTGCTTTCTCTGCGACTGCGACGTGTGTTTCCTTCTTCCCGCACTCGGCCCAGACAAGGCCGAGGCCAGGGCCGTCTCGGGTGCAAACTGGACGGCTAGGCCGATGTGTTGGGCTTGTGCGTATGGACTGCCTGCCTTTTCTCGCTCAGGTAAGTCAGTCAGGCAGTGCAGCGAGCGGCCCAGCGTCTCCGCGTACGGTCAGCAGTCTCAGAAGTTAGCAATGGCGTGCAACAGATGGTTCGGCTTTTGGGTGGGTCTGAAGCAGGAAGATATTCAGGCGTGTGGATTGTAGTTTTCTGGATTCGAACCGTAGGGAGTGGACTTGGCCGGCCCAACAGGCGGTAGGGGCTCGCGTCAGCTCTGTAACGGACCCTTCCTGTGCACGCTCGCTGCTAGTAGGCAGACCCTTCCTGTCCTGTGCCTTCGGATCCGCAGCCTGCAGTGGACCAGCACCAGCGGTCACAGCCACAGGGCACAGGCTCACAGCTCGATCGGCGGCGGCGACCCTCCTCTCCATGCGCTGACGCGCACGCGCCCACCAGGCCCCGCCGGAGGCGCTTGCTCCTGTCACGCAGCTTGCAGAGTCACCGTCGCCCGTGGAGCCAGTACCCCGCTTCGCTCACCTCCGCCTGCGCGCGTTGACATTTCCATTCCATGGCGAAATCGATGCGCCGGCCAGGCCATGTGCCACACGCCACGGCTCGGCTGCTCGTATGACTTCATCATTTTATTGTGCACATGCATGGCTCTCTGCTCTCTGCATCTCTCCATGGTTTCCTTTGGGCGAGGTGAAGCTTCTCCTCTCTTCCGCTCTTCGTTCGATCCGGTAGTAACGGGTCAAACCTGCAAAAATGTACTAGTACTACCCAGGCTCCGCCTGTCTTGTGCACCGCTCACTTTTCAGTCAGTCTATTTCAGCTTATTCTCCCTCACGTAACATTATTTAATCAGCCAAAACCAACCAGCTTATATACCGGCCATCGGCATCGGTGCCCATCACATCTGGTAAGTGGTAACCCAGGAGATTACCGACATACACATATGGGTAACCAGCGAAGTTCGTTCTCGTAAAAATGCTTAAATTCACCCGAAGCACATTGCTTATGAGTTATGTACACTACATTCATGATTCAAAATCCAGAGGCAGGAGTCGCTGTACAAGAGGTTTAATTGCTTATTACTACTAGCAGTAGACATATATATAGGCAGATCCATCACCATCATGTGCATCCAGAGCAAGCCTTGTTTGGCTGCTCTTGCCAAACACACACGACTTTTTTTTTTTCCCGGATGGACGATCGAGGACGCATCCACGCACGCAACGCAATCACAACCTGCCGCTTCGCATTAGGTCGTCGTCGATTGCTTTCGTCCTCTTCTTCTCTACGAACTCCTAATCTACACAAAGTACACAGAAGCAGTGGTTGAACATGACGCGGAGGGTGGAAACGAAACGAGAGGAGGCCGCTGCGTTCGCTGTCGCCGTCGTCGGCCTCACTGGCCCCAGCCTCTGCTACGAGTGCCTGCAATGCAAGGATGATCCAAACGGGGTTGTTAGATTCAGCAGAACTTGGGAGCGCCTTGATGATTTGAGCAAATCCAAGCACGGAACGGAACCAACCCAACCACTCCAGTCGAGACGAAACCTAATCCGCACGGAAAGGTCGGTGGTGGCTAGTCAGGGTGCTCAGGGTCAGAGGAGAAGACAGTGACAGTCCGTGGCAGTGGTCAGTGCCGGTTATTAGAGGCTTCATTAGTTGAGATCTCTTATTAGTTGGGGGATTGGGATATCGTTGTCAACTCAAATCATCGGCTACGACTCTGTATGATCGTCTCTGTATGATCTCATTAAGCAGACTCCACTTTATTGCTGTTACTAACTCTGTTCTGTTGGTGGATAAGAGCAGCTGAGCAGGGATGGAAGGCAAAGCAACATAGGAAGAATATATAAATATAAATATATCCATACAGACTACTATAGGCTGGGGGCCATACTAATTTGTTGGGTGAATTCCTTTTCAGGGAAAAGAAAAGTAGAGAACTGTTGGGTCAAATGGAGATGAACAGAACTGAATTCACCTTAATTTCAGCGGATTTTTAGCCCAAATAGTAACTAGCTCTAGCTCATCCTCTAATTTGCGCAGTGAAAGCCACACTACAGCGCCACTTTAATTCACTCCCAGTCCCGGCTTCGATGATTAGGATTTGCAAAAGCCGCGTTGCATATTTGCAGGAATGCAAAACATTTCATAAGCCTGATCTCGAGAACTAGCAGCAGGGGCGGAGGACTCGGTAGGGCAAGGTAGGGCGCTTGCCATACCTTGGCTCTGCTGAGGAACCCCATCCCGAATCGCCTCTGGCAGCCATGGATGCAAAATCGCTGCTTTGCTGGTGTTGAAGATGAACGCGACGCTGAGGCTTAGACTCCTGAGGAAGAAGATAACTGTGACTCGAGATGAACCGCAACTTTGGGCCTTGTGGGCTTGTGACTTTGGGCTGGCACCACGTATGACCATCGGTCATCAGTTTAGATATTCACGAATTGTGAATTGTAGATTGCAGTGATGGCCAGGCGGCCCGTCCGTTCCCTTCCCCGAAACAGCAACGCTTCGTGTTTCTTCCGATCATGAATTCGCCGTTCACCCCCGTTCGTCGCTGAGGTGCCGCCGGGACGGCGCGATGGGCAAACTGCAAACTGCTAGCCCCAACCTCCTACCTCCTGCCCCTGCAACCCCTCTCAGCTCCGCTATTCCACTTTGATTCACCTTGCCTGCCGACGGCGATGCGACAAGCAACTGAACAACTGAACTGTGGGTCACAGTAACCGCCGGCCGGCCACACGACAGTTTGGCACAAACACACAATAATCCAGTAAGGCTCAACTCAAACCTGAAACTCTTTTTTCCGTGGTTGTTTGTTCGATTTTCTAGTTATCAATTAATCAATTATTAATTATTTAATTGGTTGGTTGATTTTGTTTGTCCTACATAGATCATACTTGGCTATATATGTCATCGACTTCGCCACACCTTGAATTTTTTCCGTCCTCCGCCACTGACTAGCAGCAAGTGCCAAATTTTGAGGACGCTCTGAAGCTTGCACTTCAGAGTTCAGAGTTCAGACAGGGTAGTTGTGTGTTCATACCTCGATGGTGCTGGTGCAGGGCAGCCGTCTCGTCCGTCAGTCCTTGAAGAGGACGGTGTCGGCGATGGCGAGGAGCGGGGCGAGGCAGTCGGGCGCGAACTTGCGCGCGAACATGTGAGGGTGGGTGTGGTTGGACGCGCGGAGGTCGGCGACGAGCCCCGGCGTGACCTCGGCCGCGGTGTACGTGTGCGGGTGTCCCGCGACGCTGCCCGTCCAGTTTACGCGCGTGAGCGTGTACCGCGCCACGCCGCCCGGGTCCGCCATGTCCAGCAGCGTCGGGAAGTAGTGCTCCTCCGGGTAGCACGAGTCCCGCTCCATGTCCGGGAGGCAGGGCGTCCGGAACTTGCGCCACAGCCGGCGCTCCCGTACCACCAGCACGGCGTGGCGCCGGGCCAGCGTGAAGAACTGGGAACCGATCCGGAACCGCTCGTAGGGGACCTCCGGGAGCATCGCGTCCTCGCCGCCGCGCGCCGCGTAGCGCGACGGCATCTGTGGCTCTCCCGTCAGCACCTCGATGTAGCTGCGTGGCCTTCCGTGGGGCGCGGAGGGGGGCGACGGCGGGGGCGGAGGGAAGAGCGCGGCGTAGAGGCGCGGGAAGGAGTGGAGCGGGACGCAGTGCTGCGACAGCAGCGCGAAGTAGGCGTTGGCGGGGTCGTCCAGCAGCGCGGCCGCGAGGAGGCGCCGCGCGGCGGCGATGAGGCTCGCGTCGGCGCGGCGCGTGGGCTTGGCGGCCACGAACCGGCCACGGAAGGACGGCGTGGGCGGGAGGAGCAGGCGCGCCGCCGGGTCGGCGTGGACGTACACGCTGAGCCGCGACTCGTGACCCGCGAAGAAGCGCTCCCAGAGCGGGGCGAAGGTGAGGTCGGAGTTGGTGAGGAACAGGAACGCCACCTTGGGCGGGCCGGCGGCCTTGGCGCCCGCTGCCGCCGCCGAAGACGACTCCAGCGCCGCGCGGCGGAACAGGCGGAGGTCGTCGGCCTCCTCCTCCCCGGCGCCGGCGCCGACGACCCGGAGGCCTCCTCCTCCGGCGCCGCCGGTCCCTGCGGCCGGAGGAGCCTGCTCGTCCGCCGCCGTCTTCTGCGGCGGCGGGGACAGGCGCGGGGCGAGGACCAGCAGCGCCGTGAGCGACGCGAAGAGGAGCAGCGACAGCACCATCGGCGAGGACAAGGCCATGGCGGCGCCGGCGCGGCGGTGTCAGTGTCAGCCCTCCTCGCGGCGAGGGGTCCTGGGGAGGGCGGCGAGGAGCGCGGGTCTCGGGTCGGGACGCCTGGGACCGGTGGCGCGCCGGCGTCCGTCAGAAGAACCGCATCGTGGCGATCGGAGTCCGGCGGCGGTCACGATCGGGGGAGGGAGAGAGGGAGAGGCGCAGAGGCGCACACGACGGCCAGGCCAGGAAGGCGCTGAGGAGAGGGGAAGGAGAGAACGGGAGGAGGCAGTGCCCCGGGCAGGCTGAGTGGCTGACGGTCGGGTCGGGCCTCTCCCCTCGCTTTCTTCTGGTCTCGTCACCCTGCCTGCCACTGACGCCGGGCGGCTCGGCGAGACGGCAGACAGAGCAACGCGCGGCGCGGGGAATCTCAGCAAGATGACTGACATGTGGGGACGGGGGCGCTGTGGGGTCGGGCTCGCAGTGGGGTTTCGCGGGAGGGAGCGGGTGAGTCGCGAGGCAGGGCAGGGTTTTGACGGCTGAGGGTGGATCGTTGTGGCTATGCACGAAGGAGAGCCGTCGGATGGGCTTGGTACGTGGCGACGGATGGGGACGCGCGCAGACACGTGGGATATGCCTGTCTCGTAGTGCACTGGGCTTGGCGGCTTGTTCCCTCGAGCGGCTTAGGGGGCGGCGTCGCGGCCAGTGGGAGCTGGGCCCGACTATCAGAGTCTCCTAGGGCGTGTTTGTGAAGTGTGGCTGAGGCCGGCTTGGCCGTCCGTCAGGCCCAGGCCTGCCTTAAGTAGTGCAACTATTCATGTTTGGCAACAAATATGTAACAAGTCATGTCCACTTGAGATTGTGTTTGATTCTAATAATACAGGCGGGCTAAGAAGCCAACTAACTTCAACTACCAAACCGAATTGTGTTTGGTTGTTGGCTAGCCTCGGCCAAGCCCATAATCAGAATGCAGAAATGCACATATAGCAATGGAATGAGCAAGAGTTTGAACAAGTAAACCATATAATTAGTGTTGTTAAAAGCATTAGGCCTCAGACAAATTAGGTAATTAACCATGGAGACATAACTGCTCTAATTTTACAAAGTATCAATGAAGCAAGGCAAAATAACAACATCAACAACCTAATCAGTAAGCAACAGTACTTAAACAATGGATAGGAGATATGTAACAGAAATAGGTTACACAAATTAGTAAATGAGACAGCTCATCCATCATCTAATTCTGTCATCATAGGCCTAAGTGGGGCAGCCATAGTGCTAAGTATTGCCCACCTTCATCCATAGTCCAAACAGAAAAATAACAAGTGAGATGATTGACACATTCTTACAGCAACCAGCCCTACCATTACCATCAGAAGGAGCAATGGTTTGAGCAAAAGCATCATGAGGAACCGGATCATAGGGGAGGAGAGCTGCTGCTACCAGAGATACATTGACATCTCTCACTGATGCATGAAAATCTCTAACAGCCTGCTCATAGCTAGTATACTTCTTGTATATAGCATTTTTGACCATAAGAACTTGTTTATTGTACTCATGCCAAGTCAGGTAAATCATAGGAGTCTTCCCAGAGAAAACCACATATCAACTTGCCATTTCTGTAAAATAAAAGAGTGCTTTAGCCTCAGCCAAATGTAATGCATGAAACTAGCCATTAGTGTGGAACTTGAAGATCTACGATTTGTGATGAAACAAATCGTTGATCTCAAGTCCCTCACTGATGACCAGCATCATTAGGTTCAAATCAACAACTATGACATCACAGGCATTATAAGAAAACATTGGCCTCAGCTTTAGAATCTGATGGTGTAATTCATTAGTTAAATCTTTGGTGGCTGCCATACAAATAAAAAACTAGTAGAACAGAAAGTTACAAACTGCAGACAACAGAAGAACCAAACAGGTGCAAATCCAAGGTCATGGCTACCATGGAACCCTTGTGCACGTCCATTCACTGCCATCAGCACAAGACAGAAGGGGTTGTTGCTAGAGAATGGACGTGTCACATGGGTTGATGACATACATGATAAATCACAAGAATCACCTCATGTAAAATTTTGCATCATAGGCCATTTAAAATTCCCACAGTTGCCACCAATCCAAAGAAACAAAACCAACAGTTCAGAAGTAAGGGATTAAACAACATGTGGTCTCAAATAAAGTAGCCAACAGTGGCTACAAATAGTCAATTACAACAACAGGTTCCATGCAATAGTTCTGGGCTCAAATGCCTACCATCGTGCCCTCTAGCACATATAGTTAGCCACCCTCCCAGTAAACAAAGCAAAAGGACAGGTGTGAGTCAGCTAAGTAAGCTACACAAAATACCTACAAGAAACTATGCTCAATTGTAGTCAAAAGAAGAAAGAGTGAGTGAAGGAGGTGGAGGAACTGTACATCTCA